CCATCCATCCATCCATCCATCCATCCATCCATCCATCCATCCATCCATCCATCCATCCATCCATCCATCCATCCATCCATCCATCCATCCATCCATCCTCTGCAGCTTGAGCAGAGAGGCCCAGACATATCTTTCCACATCCACCTTATCCAGCTTTTCCAGGAGGATTTTAAAGTGTTTCCAGGTCAGCCGAGAGAGAGACATAGACTTTCCAGTGTGTCCTGAGTCTTCCCAGTTGGCCATGCCTGTGACTTATCCCCAGGGAGTTGTACAGAGGGCATCACCATCAGAATCCTGAACCACCTCAACTGGTTCCTCTCTGTGTTTGGGGGGTCAGCAGCTCTGCTCCGAGTCTCTTGATAACTGAACTTCTCACCCTATCTCTAAGGGAGAGTCCAGCTAACCTGTTAGAGAAAACTCGTTTCAACTTTGGTCACTACTTAGAGTTTGTGACCACAGCTCTGAGTAGGAGCATAGACCAACTGGTAAACAGAGAGCTTTACTTTGCTTCCTCTTCAACACAACACACTGGCACAGAGTAGGCAGTACTCTAGAAGCCTCATGCTCAATTCTTCCCTCTCCTGGGAACAAAACCCAGAGATACTTAAACTCCCAACTTGGAAAGGGAAGTCCACCCTTTTCCAAATTAGGGCCATAGCCTCAGATTTGGAGTTGCAGATCCTCATCCTAAATGCTTCTCACTCAGCTACAAACCATTCCAGTGAGAGATGGAAATTTACAACATCATGATGCTAAAAGAATACCGTTGTTCGTAGCAACCATAGCAGAGACAGAATCCTGAGGTCACTAAGTTAGACCCCCCTAGATCCCTGTCTGCACCGCCTCAGCCACCTGACAGTTTGCCAGAATCTTCTTGTACACATTCAAGAGTTTCTCAGGACCTCACCAAACTCCTCCTAGCTCTGAGCCTTTGCCACAGCAACAACCAGGGCTACAGCCTCCTTGGCCTCATAATACTCCTCAGCTGCCTTTGGAGTCCTACAGCTTACTAAGCCTAGAGGGAGTCTTTCTTCATCTGATGGCACCCCAACAGGGTCTGCCATCAGGGGTTACCAGCAAACTATTAAAACCCATTTGAGTCTACCGGGGTCTGTCTAGCGTCACCCTATCCAACCCACCACCAGGTGTTGACAGCTTTAATATTTATTTTAAACTTCCGACTGATCCATTTTTTGATTAGGAGTTCAAAGGGATTATCCATGATGTTGCAACTTCTGTTTGAATTAATTAAAAAATAGCCTCTAAGTCTCAGAATTTCTGCCCATTTTTCAGGAGGGCAGTAACCAAGCGCACCTTTGGGCAGACAGGTCTACTCATCCACACGTGGTATGCCAGCCACTCTTTGATCAAGACTATTTGGGTCATGGCCATCAGCCAGCATCAGTTCTACTTGGACAGAAAACAAAGCAAAGTAAGTGTCAGCTACAGACACTGCCTGTTTTTGTTTGTGCCCAACCCTTTCACTAATCTTTAAATCATGTTCATCATAGGCTAAATTAGGACCAGCTAAAAATCTGGAAGAAATTGGCATGGAGCTCACAGAGCATGGAGGAGCAAAGCTCAACAGACTGGGAGATGATGGTTTGAAGAATAACCTCATAAGAGCCAGCAATGGGAGCCTGGTGTCTACAGGTTGGGTTTCAACTGTTATCTTTCTAGATCACAATAGGTTGTGTTTATTCTAATTAAATGTATTTTACAAGAACAAACTAGCAGTTTGGAAAGTAAAACAATCTGAGACATCAAATACGAATTAAAAATTGATTTGATTTGATTTGATTTATTTATTTAACAGGAAAAGATTATTAAAAATCAAGCCTGACTCAGCATAATTGCTGTTTTACAGCAGGTTCCTGTTATATAAATAAAACTCATCCTACAATTTTTTTCAGGTTCTGCTGACTCTGAAATGAGTGAGGAACAGAAGAAAGAAAAACTATCTGAGCTGAGAAAAAAGGAACGGGAGATTCAAGATATTCTGTCCAAGAAAACAAAAGAACTGAAGAAGATTTGCCTCAGAGAGGCGGTGAGAATTCAGTTTTTATTGAAGCTCCTCTGTGTTCATCTAATATCAGGCTGAACCCACTTTAATATTATTAAGCCTTGTTACTTTGCGAGGAGGTGGTCTCACTGTTTCTTCTCTTACTTTCAGTTTATATAAATGCCAAAACCTGTTGTTTGGTTCTTTCAGGAACTAACTGGCAAACTGCCAAGAGAGTATCCCTTGTCTTCAGGTGAAAGACCGCCGCAGGTTAGACGGCGAGTGGGCACTGCCTTCAAGCTAGACGAGCTTTTTCCCTACAACGAGGTCTGTCTATAATGGAACTGCAAGTTTTGTGATTTGTGTGTCACAGTTTAAATGTACAATGTGTAGTTTGTCAACATTCAAATTAGAGATGTCCCGATACTAATTTTTTTCCAACTGTGTTCGAGTACAGTTTGGGTATTCGCCGATACTGAGCATCAATACTGAGTACTTACTGAGTTAGAACTTAAACTTTACACAATGACTTTAAAAACACATTTCTTTTATTTAGAACAAGGTGGCTCTCCTTCCTTATAGACCTACAGATCTGACTGGATCTAATCAAATATACAGCATGATATAATACACTGCTGCAATATTTTAAAATAAATAAAAAGAACAAACCTTTTAAACATGGAACTTGTTGCAGTTTATATTTCAAGAAATGTAAACTGTAATGTTCAGTGGATGATCAATACTAGTATTGGTATCGGGACAGTTTGTAAAAACGTTGGTATTGAGCTGGGACATAATTTCATATTGGTTGAATTGAAAGGTTTAGTCAGAGGTTAAATCTGAAGAAAGGATACATCCTAAATGGATTTTCCAGGAAGGGACAGTGTTGTGTTTATTATGCATGACCGAGCCACATATTGTGGTTGATGGCACATCACAATGACTCGCACATGAGTTGAGTTGACTTTTCAAACCCTGTCAAAATGCTTTTTTGCTCGCAGCTCATCCCAGATTGACGTTTGACTTGGAGACATGAAATCACACATTCTATTTTTTCCGCTCCGGCTTCAAGACAAAAACTGATCCAAATACACATCCTGCCTTGATGACTGCAAAATACAAGCTCCACCATCCAGTTTGAGTCTGACTGAACTTGCCAATTATTTTTTGGCTTTAACTGAGGCCATGTTCAGCCCTGGCACAACGATTCATCTCAGGCGATTTGACTGCAAGTGGACAGCTCTGACTGAGAGCTTTCTCACCTGGCAGTGAAACGAAAGTCCAAAGTGTTTTTGTGATCATATATTCTTTACCTACGCTGTATGCTGATGCACATGCAGCCATGCCACATAGTGAGTCGTCCGAGTAGCTGATGTTACTGCAAAATATACAAGTTATTCAGACATCTGAGCTGTTTTACTATAACACAGCTTTTTCTGTGTGGAATTCTTAGAATATTATTTTCATAGATGTAATTACCTGAAATATGTGATATGGAAGAAATAAATGCTCATACAATGACTTGTGACATCACAGATCAAAGACTTAAAAGTTTACCTGAGTTTTTGAATGTGGCATATTTATGCGTATATAATTTAATCTCAAGTATAATGTCATTGCCCATTTTTTGAGCTTAACAAGCATAAGAAAAATCTAAGTAATAATGCTACCCCTGATCTCATACAAATTTCAGGATTTTTTAAACTTTTCTGGGATGCCTACTTTCACACAACACCTGTTAAAGGCTTTGGGCATGTTTGATTATGCGGATCAGTACATGCTTCTGCATGTCACTACAAATGGTCCGCTCCCAGAGCAGGAGCCGTTTGTTAAATTAGCAAAATGGACAGACTCGAGGAGCGGCTCATCTAGTCCTATTGAGCACGCAAATGTTCAACTGGTGTCCAGGTCTTCTTTCCATCTCCACGGTTAACAAGAAAAAAAAAACTCCTCATCTAACAACAGCCTCTCTTCAAACGTCTGATACATTATTGAATGAAATATAATAACTATCACTCTGTGCAACATATGCTACAGTGAAAGAAAATATTGAAATTTATTGTGGTAAACATTAGCAAAAGATCTGTCAAAATTTACTCCCGTTTAATACCGTTCTCTAACTTTATGGATAATTTTTAGGGTAAACCTTTTGCATCATACAGTGCAGTGAATTCTCACTTATTACGGGTTACATTCTTAGAATACCCAGGAATTGTGAAAAAAAACTTGAATATTTGCTATGGGGTGGTATCGTAATGCGTTAAGAATAAAGCTAAAACACACAGGAGCTAAGCAGTTAGCATCTACACACGGTACTGTTAAAAGGCAGAAACGCTGTGCTCTGGGCAGAGCGTGGGTCTAGGGCATGCATTTCATACTGAACCGTAATGCTTTTTTTTAAATCGAACTGTTTTTACCTCAATATTTATGAGGTAAATGAGTTTATGTTGAAAACTCACAGAAAAGCATGAGAAAAAAAGTGACGTTCGTAATTGTACTGTATTTATGGTTTCTGCAATTCCACAGGGATTACCACAAAAGTTCAATGAAAAAAATTGTGAAGGACTGAATCCACATACTGTGAAATGCAACTTTGCAGGGCTTCACTGTACCTGCATAAATATGATATCTAAACCCAATTTACCTGCTCAAAATTTGATGACTTTTTTCCTCGCAAATCAAATGGGTTAACAAGAAGATAAAACTCTCAGCTTCAGAGTTGCCAAATGGGAATTCACCACTGAGTCTGTTATGTTTTAATTAAGTGGACAGCAAAGGCTCTTCCAATCAGCACGTAGCTGTAGAGGCTGCTAATAAGCATATGTGTGTGTGTGTGTGTGTGTGTGTG